CTGTACTAGGTTTATTGCTGATTTCTTCTTATTTTTGTTGATATAATATATGATAGAAATAATTTTGGGGAAATATGAATAGTTTGTAAGCCACTGCTTCAGACATAAAATGAGATCTTTAAATGGGTGTAGGACAGCCTGCCAAGAAGACTCTGAAAAGATAAGCCCCGTCCAGTGCCTTGAGTGCTCTGAACATTTGCATTTGAAAAGATTTGCTGAGAAAGCTGTCCACAGACTAAAGAAAGAAAAAGGAGCCGTTTGACCTTTTGAATTTTGAGCTAATTGTTTGTGCTTGAAGCTGGAAAAAATTTGGAGCCATGAAGAAACTATTCTCCCCAGCAGTGAAAGTTAAAGAGAGCCTGTGGACAGCCAGAAAAGCCCTTTAGGTGACCACCTGGGTCCACTTGTTGAGTGGAAGTGGGAGAAAAACAGCAATAGAGAGATGGGTTGAGTCTGGCCACTGATACCTGTGGACCTGGTTCACAGGGACTAGAGAAGACGAGGATTGGCTAGTGTGAAGTTTAAGAGTTACGTGGAACTTGAGCCTATGGCATGACATAGCCCAAGGGGGTTAGAGTTGTTGAGAATTTGTATTGGGGCCCATGGTCCAAAGGAGAGACAACCAATGGGCACCTGGTGAGGCTAAGCAAGGCAGCCCACATTGAGTTGACCAGAACCTGATCAGATAAATATTTTTGAGTCTGTAAATTGGTGCATATTGCTTCTGACTTTATGGAAGGCCTGTCATGATTTGACTTTGCTTATGGATTCCAACTGGAATGAAGATTCTCACATCAAAAACATGCTTGTCTCCTCAGAGCACTTGGTTGATATAAATGGGCAGTACAGAAATTGGATAACCAAAATGGGAAGGATAAAGGCATGAAGTAGCTGGCTTACAAACTTTCATTTTGGGGGGGTATTTTGATAGGATTATGGTATAGGTGTTCACTTAACTACAATTGTTAGTCATAGGATATTTTTGTTTAGTTCACTTATAGAATATTATGTTTAAGTAAGGCTGGCACATTTTCAGTTATATGCCTTTTAGTTTTATCTTGCTAGGCACAAATTAGATTTTACTGTTGTCTTTATTTTTAAAATTATGTATGACTAAAGAGTGGTGTTAAAGTGTCAAGTTCACAAGGGGTGGTCTGTGGTAGTTATATAATTACATGTCAACTTGAAGTGTAGAGGTGGGATCTAGCCTGTTAATCAGGTCACACAGTCTGATGGTACCTCCTTATGGATGTGCCCTCATAAGAATGATCCTGGGACCCCCTCCCCCCTTCTCTCTGCCTTCACCTTCATGCCTACGAGTCATTTTAAGATCTGCGTGAGCCCTGTGATGCATCCACCACCACCGAATCCACAACATTTTGCACCCACCACCCTGTGATCTTCCTGCATTTTGTATCATTGCTTATGGTTTCCTGAGTCCAAGGAGGGATTTATGGACTAGTATCGGACTTGTAAAGTAGTATTGTGCTTAACAGACTTAATTTGGACTGGGCTGGGATGTTTTCTTGATATACAATTACTCCCTGGTATAAAGCTCTTTCTTGCACATATATAAGTGTCACTGGATTTGTTTCTCTAGTCAATGCAGCCTAACACTGGATTTGTTTCTCTAGTCAATGCAGCCTAACACAGTTTCCTATGTTTTTGAGGAGGGCAGCTGGCCAGGTATTCAGACTGCCAACCTAATAGTTAGCAGCCAAACACTTAAGCACTATGCCACCAGGAATCCTAAAGGTGTCCAGGTGTCCAAAAAGGTAGCTATAATACAAAAGACAAGAACAAGATTTACAAACTTTATTCTCCCTGAAACCCAGTGCTCTGACTTATCTGCTGTCTTCTGGCCATTCTGGTCTTCCCCAGGAAATTTAATGCTAATTGTTTGTATTTGTTTTAATTTCAGTGGTAGGAATGGGATCCTGGTGCTTCCACATGACTCTGAAATATGAAATGCAGGTTAGTAATGACAAAATTGACTAAATGCTTTTCTCTCTTAATCCAGATTCAGGAAAAGAACTATATGGTAATATTGAGACAAGGAAATGAAAAAAAAAGGAGGGACACTTTGTAATCTTTAGAGACTTTACTTCAGACCAAAGGATCCAAACTTAGTAAAGAAGAAAGCAGATCTATATTCATTGAAGAGACAACCTGAAAGCAGGATAGCTTTTTGATCACCTTTGTGCAGACATGTGCAACTTTAGTACCAGAGTAGAGTTGCAGTGAGACATCTGTAAAACACATAGCTGGTTTACTAAAACAATGCAGTCTTAGTCTGAAATGACCACATTCCTTCATGTCTTATGTTACTCATTTGAATGGTCTCTGGCTAGCCAAGTAATAGAACTATGAAAGAATTTTTATCAGCTATCTTTGCTCGAAGGAGGTCATATGTATAGCCCTCAGTCTTTTAATATTTTGATTCCTCATCACTAGAACACTATTGTCCAGTGAAAATATAATATGAATGTAGGTAATTAAAATTTTTCTAATACCCATATTAAATAATTAAAATTGTTAAAGTAAAAAGAAATAGATGGAATTATTTTTCATATTAAATCCAGTATTTTCAACATATCATGTCAACATATTATCAATATAAAAATTATTGACATATTTTTCATGTTTTTTTTCAGAGGCCTTGAAATTCAGTGTTTCAATTTGGATTAGGCTTTCAAAGCCAAATTGTCTTCAAAGACAATTTGAATTAGGCTTTCTTCAAATACTCAGTAGTCGTATATTTTTATGACTTTAGAAGGAGCTATATACAAAAAAGAAAAAAGAAAAGGAAAACCCAACCCTGTGTCATCAAGTCAGTTCTAACTCCAAGCAACCCGGTAGGAGAGAGTACAACTGCTAGATAAAATTCCCAAGGCTGGCTCTTGTATGGAAGCTGACTGCTGCATCTTTCCCCACAGAGTGGCTGGTGGGTTCAAACTGCCAGTCTGTTAGAAGCCCAGCACTTAACCCACTGTGCCACCAGGGCTCATCACCTTATACTGAATTACAACGATAGCCACAGTAAATGTCTAAGAATCAATTCTTAAAAAAAAAAAAAAAAGAATCAATTCTTTGGATTAATTCTGACATTCAACACAAATTGACAAAAAAGTATTACCTATCCTGTGTGTGCTGTGCTGACTTTGAGAATACAAGAATGAATGCAACAATGGTCTAGTCGTCCACCAAGCATGGAACACACGTATTTTCACACCTCTCTGGGAAACAGGTTTATAAACAGTGATTATTTTAAAAATATATATAAATTATGTACTATGACAGCATGGTGGAACTTAGAAGAATCTCTAATATTTAAAGACATTTAACCGAATCTGAAGGTATGGAAGGACATACCAGGTTTGCACCATGACTAAACAAAAGTAAGGACTTACTACAGTTTGTGGTAAATCAATACTTTCATAAGCTTTAAAAATGAGGCAGGTGCAGTCTAGCCCAGAGTTAGGTGTCAGAGCCTGAGCGAGAGTTGGACTATATGGCAAACGTTTTTTTTCCACTCAAGTTGGGGAGGTGGTTGGCACATGACTGGAATCTGTGGGTGCTCATGCACAGGGACAGCTTTGTTCTGGTATTAGCCCTAGAAAAGTGACTTTTCATGGCAGAGTGGCCCAGTACATGGTATGGGAGAATGGGTGGCTGAGAAGGCCACCCATGTGGAAGTTTGACAGCCCAAGCAGTGTGTGGATACTTAATGGGTGAGGAAGACATCTTCTAAGGGAGAAAGCAGTGGCAAGAATGGAATATTGGTTACACACAGGGGAATTGCTCAAAGAAGTTCATATATCAAGGATAATGGAAGCCACATTTCTTATTATAAACAGTTATAAATATAGAAAAGATGAAAACAAGAATGAATCATGTGGTGATGAATTGAAACTGTAGATATCAGTGTAGACTCATGTTTTTAATATATACAAAGGGGCTTCAAGAATGCCATTATCTTAGAATTTCCCTTTTGGCTGTCATGACTGTGGACACTCATGCTGAAGATTTTGTTTGTGTGGACGTATGGTTTCATACATTTGACTGTACACCTAGGCTAGGGGTAGGACCTCTGTTCCTCTGCCTACAATACTTTTTCTCTCAGATCATTACACATCTGGCCATTGAACCTCCTTAGTTCAAATATTGCCTATGCAAGAGATGCCTTCCCTAACATCCTAATTGTAATTAAAGCAGTCTCTCCAACAAGTGACCGTTACCTTATTGCATGATTTCTATAGCACTTGTTGTCATTTAACGTTACCTTGGTAGTGCTCTTTTCCAATTAGAATGTAAACTCATTAAGAGAAAAGTCCTCATCTGTTTTATTTATCATTCAATCTTTAGCAATTGTAACATTGTTGGCACATAGTATACATAATATGTACAAGAATGAATGAAAGAGAAAGGCAGGCTAGCAGGCAGGTAGGCAGGTAGGTTGGTCTGTCGGTTGATCAGTCAGACATTTAACCACATGAGTGAATGATTAAAATTATACATTGAAATATTGAATTGTATTTGTTTCAGTTGATGAGCAATTACATTTCTTTTTCTCTGAACTTCCATATTTTCTAAATCTTCTACAGTAAAACATGAATTCCTTCTATAAGAGAAATACATGTTTATGTTTGTTTTAAAGAAGAGTCTCAAAGGAGCTTTAAAGAAATAGTTATACTAATGAGTCAATCAGAATAAATTTCATTTTAAAGCAGCCTTCCCTTGTATTTAATTTAGTTTTGAGTTTTAGTTATGTAGCAGAATATAGTGTATTCCAAAGATGCTTGTATCAATATCTCCTACCCTCAGTGTAAAGAAAAGTCCTTGTAACCAGATCAGTAGACAATATGGTGTTAAATGGAGAAAAGTTTGAAGTCATCTTGGATTTCATTTTATTTGGCTCCACATTCAATGCTCACAGAAGCAGCAGACAAGAGATTGAACAATGTATTACATTATGCAACTCTATTGCACAAGGCTTCTTTAAAGTTTTGGAGAGAAAGGCTGTCATTTTGAGGACTAAGATGTGCCTGATCCAAGCCATGGTATTTTCAGTCACTTCATATGCATGTGAAAGTTGGACACTGAATAAGGAAGGCTAAGGAGGAATCGATGAGTGTGAATTACGGTGCTGGCAAAGAATATTCAAAGTGCCATAGACTGCCAAAAGAGCACACAAGTCTGCCTTGGAAAGAGTACAACCAGAATGCTCCTTAGATGCAAAGATGCTAAGGCTTGTTTTGAATAATTTGAACATGTTATCAGATTGGAAGAGGGTCAGCGGAAAAGAAGACCCTTGATGCAATGGATTGATGCAATGACTGCAACAGTGGGCTGAAACATAACAATTGTGTGGATGCCCCAGGACCAGACAATATTGCATTCTCTTGTGGAAATGGTCGCTATGAATTGAAACTTAACAACAACCTACACGCCCTGCTTACAATGTGGTTTGACTTCTCAAGAGGTGGCGGTGTGTGTGTATCTATGTTTCTTCCCCTTGAATCTGGGCAGGACTGTGACTGTGGTGGACATGAAGCTATATCTAGGAAACCCTCTCTCTCTCTAATCCACCAGTCGGCTTCTGTGTCTCTCATGTGTTCTTTCATAGCACCCAGGGCATCTCTGTCTCCGCCCTTACCAGTGTTAACTTCTAAATATATCTATGGATCTGACTCCTCCAGCTGAATGTGAGTCCTCACTCCTAAGAGCAGGGACTCTTTCGTTGATCTTGTTATATGCCAGGATTCCCTGTGTTTCTAATTCTTATCTGTACCAGTGTACATCCTCTGGTGTACAACCCACTTCATGGGTTGTCACAGAGCACTATAAATGTTTCGTGAATCAATATTGAAAAGGTTGACATGCTAAAAATGGATCAGGTTTCTTCTGTATGGCCCTAGTGTAGAAGATAAAGAGACATCTTGCTCAATATGTGAAGGAATTTTCTGAGCCTGTAGATATTAAGGACTCCCTAGGAAATACTGAGTTCTCGGTCATGTGAGGCTGGACAAGCAATTTCATTAGTTCAGAAAACTTTATGGGATACCTGGGCAACAGGTATGCATAGATAAAGATGACACAGCCCTTCCCTCAAGGAGTCGACAGTTTAGAATTGAAGACACTGTACTAGTGAATGATTGACACAGGTATACGCAGCGTTGGGCTACCCAAAGAATAAACAAATCTGTCTTGGAAGAAGTACAGTCAGAATACTCTTTAGAAGCGAGGATGGCAAGACTTCATATTATTTTGGTCAAGTTACCAAGAGGGACATCTGGAGAAGGACGTCATGCTTCGTAAAGTGAGAATCAGCACAAAAGAGGAAGATCCTCAACAAGATGGATGAATACACCCTCAACTAGATGGATAATACAGTGCCTACCACAGGGGACTCAAACATGACTAGGATTATAAGGGCAGTGCAGGACCAGACAGTATTTTGTACTATTGTAGGTTGGGTTGCTATGAGTCGGAACGAACTTAAAAGCATCTAACCAAACTGAACACTAAACTCACTGCCATCAAGTCATTGCTGATTCTCAGCAACCCCACTTGTGGGTTTCCGACACTAACTGTTTACAAGAGAGGAAAACCCAGTCTTTCTCCCTAGGAAGTGCTAGTGGTCTCGAACTGCTAACCATGCAGATCGCAACCCAACCTGTAACCACTACACCGCTAAGGCTCCTGCAACAAATAGGAATAGGAAGTGAAGTAAATTAATTAAGACAGGGAGGGGAGGTCAGAGAAGGTTTCAAAGAGATGACGCAGATAATAAGTTTCAGTTGCATCTGGAAAGATGAATAGGAATTTGCCAGGTCATCTACACTCAATTTTTTGTATGTCTGGTACATCAGGGCACTGCAAGTAAACATGGAGTGAGAATGTGTGGTGCTGAAGGAAATGCCACCATTAATAATTGCTAACTCTGATGGCATACTGCGTTGCACATTGGCTGCTAACCCAAGATCAGAGGTTCTAACCCACCAGCCACACTGGGAGAAAGATGAGACTTTCTGCTTCCATGATGATTTGCAGCCTCAGAAATCCACAGGGGCGGTTCTACTTTACCCTATAGGGTCACTGTGGGTTGGAATCGCCTGGATGGCAGTTAAATAAATTTAACATTTATTAACACTTGAATGTCTGCTCTGGGCTACACACTGAGCTAAGTGATAGGAGATACAACTTAGGAAACTAACCAGAGTCTCCAGGCCTTGGACTTTATCCCCTGGTAATCATGACAGGACTTGAAGGAGGGGTAGGACTTTGATTTGAGTATAAAGATAACTTGTCACAATTGTGGCCAAGATGAAACACTATCTGGCTATGCTAGATGGTCTTTTATCTTAAGCTCTTGATCCTACTCATTATCATTACGATTATACTATCTTCCCAACTGTATTGGCAAATAGTACCAATACTTTATTTCCTTCCCTTTGTGGACTATGGACTACAAAGTTGCAATTTTGTGTACTTGCTTGGCTGGACACAAATGACACATGACCCATTTTCCCTAAGATTGAAGGAAAAGGAAGGATCATCAATACTCTAGGACTTATTTAAACAACTTCTCTCTCTCACTTAATTTAAATGTAAAATATTCATGAATGTGCCTTGCAGGTTCCCTGTTTTATCTTCCAGTGGGGTAAATTTAGCTGAACTATGTTAAACCATCGTTTGTTATGCACAATCACCCAACCAAAACAAGAAATGACATTGCTACCACTGATAACACTATGGTGATCAGCCAGCCATTCCACCAGCCTAAACTTAGCTTGTGATAGCTATCGAGAAGTGAGGGGCTCCCTTTCCACACCTGCCCAGACTGAGCACAACCAACTATGGACAGTTCTGCCTTAAACATTATTTGAAGATGGAGTGATAATTTCTTTAGATTTAGTACCCCTAGGGTGCTGTTTGAGAAGCCCTGGTGACATTTTGGTTAAGCACTCAGCTGCTAACCAAAAGGTCTGTGATTGGATTTCCTCCCCAGCTGCTCTTCGGGAAAAAGATGGGGCAGGTTGCGAAGATTACAGTCTTGAGAACACCCTGGGGGCGGTTGTTCTTGGTGCTATAGGGTGCTGTGAGTCAGAATTGACTCAGCAGCAACAGGTCAGCGGACAGCCATTTGGTATCCAATTCTCAGTCTGCCACTGAATGGTTGATTGAGCACAGACATGCCACTTAATCTTGCTTTAGCCTTAATATTCTCTTCTGTCTAAGGGTCTAATAGTACCTGTTAGGATTGTTGTGAGTCATTTGATTGGCATATGTGAAAGATCTATCATAGATCTGGTAAGTGCTTAATAAATTTTACTTTTCTTTCTTTTTCTTAGCCAGTCAGAATATCTGAAACTACCTATATTGATCCATGGTTGGTGATTCCTTATTTTGAGTGCCATTAAATATTGTATGCTCCTGTGAAGGGTAACATTGTGACACCATACTATTGTACATGGATGGTGTCACTATTTGTTGGAATCAGCTGGACAACACCTAGCAACAACAACAACCAGGGAAATAACTAGAATTGACCATCTTCAGTCTTGCTGTTGCATTTTGATTTATATAATAATTGTAACAGTGATTTTCAAGTCTTTTTTTTTATAGCTATTGGATGAACTCCCAATGATTTACAGCTGTTGTATATTTGTATACTGCATGTAAGTACTTAATACTTAAAATTCAGCCATTTGATATATCTTTAAATGTCTATTTGCCTCAGCGTGAATTAAGTAAGATAATTAATTCGGTACAATGTGTCTTTCCTTGAGTGATGAATGTGTATGAATGTCAATATTTTAAGTGTATGCCATACAAATTTTAGATAATGTTTCCATATACTACAATATAAAGAGTTTCTTAGCAGAAGCTTATCTGAAAAGTAAAGTGCGTGTGCCAATTGTATTGTTTTAATATCCTCTTTGCTTGATGATACCTATTAAATAATAGATATTTGTGTCTTTTAAATTCCCCCTATTCGAAATCAGAGTAAATTCTGCCAAGAGTATGTCCATGTCGATTGGTTCTTGACAGCATGGAGGGAAACAATGAGAAAAACAGTCCGAAAACATTACAAATTCAAAGTGCCCTGACTGAAGCACCTTGTATTTACTCTAGTATCAAATTCACTTACATTTCCTGAATGTCAGAAAAGAAACAAGAGATTATAATTATATTAATAAGTGCTGATGTTTATTTATCTACTTTGTATCTGGAACTGGGCTCAATAGCTTAGTACAGTCTCTGTAAATTCTTAACAATTGTATAAGATAAATCACATTTTATAGATGAGGAAATGAAACAGATTTAGTTATGGACATAACAGAGTTTAATTAAGAAGCCATTGCTCAAGTAACTAATTTTTAGAAGACATATCAAGATGGAGAAAATTTCCAGAACTCATCTTAAAGAGAATATAAGGAGCCTTCAGAATGTTTGTGGAAACATAGAAGTAAAATATAATGGACTTTGATAGGCTGCTTGGGAATGTGGTAGAAGTGGAACCCTTCCTGTAGTGTATGATCAAATAGCAACAGATGATCATTAAATGTGCCTTCTCAGGAGGGTGGGTGCGGACTTTTGGGAAACCAGTGCTAGGCTGGACCCAGCTGAATTGCTGGGGATGTTAGAGTGGAGCCTTCACACATTCCTATGACTGTGTGCTTTCAGTCTCTTCAAATGCAGAACACGGATTGTTTGGAAGGGCAGCAGATTACTAGTCTGTGTTGGGAACCTACATGGCTGTGTCTGGCCTTGTTGATTTTCTTATACTGACTTTATGCTATAGCCTTGCTATAACTTCATTTATTAGTTTTAATAGTTTTCTATTAATTCCTTACATACAGCTTTTAGAGAACATACCTATTGCCTGAATAAAAAGACACAAAATTCAGTGAAGGGTTTCTGCCCCAGCTCATAAATTTGAAGGACTAGAAGCCAGGACAAAATGAAGAACAGTTTGTCATAGTGGAAATGTTATTCTCTTGAAATCAGATGGTTCAGGATTTGAATCCTGAGATTTTCTTATCCAAAAAAACAAAATCCAAACCAGCTACTATTGACGACCCCAATCGTGGCAACCCCATGTATGGCAGAGGAGAGCGGTGCTCCATTGATTTTCAGTGACTGATTTTCAGAAGGAGATCACCCGGCCTCCCAAGTGCCTCTGGGTGAACTTGAGCCTCCAACTGTACCTCAGCCACTTGCTGTACCAAGGACATAAACCTACTTTCAAGGATTGCAGTATATGTTATAATAAATACAGAACATATAACCTAGAAAAATGTTAGTTGTTACTTTTTATTATTGACAATAACAGTAACATTTGTTGCAGCTCTGATGCAAGGGCCTAAGTGTTAATCAATGTATTGTCCCTCTTTAACTCTAAAAACCAGTATTAAGAGAAAATGGAGGGATCTGTTTATTGTCCAAATACCTACTGTCAGACACAAGGAATCTTTGTATTTCCTGGCATCTTGAATGAAATCTACGTAGGTGGAATGCACATAGAACACATTCCAAGTATATTAAGCAATCTAGTCCTCTAACCATTTAAAACTTGCTTCTATGTGCCTTGTTTATTCATTTGGGAATCGGGTACTATAAAATCTCCTTTGTGTTAAGCATGATACAAGATTTTATAGATAGAGTCAAGGCACTTATAGATAATATGAGTAAGGAAGACAGATAAAGGAATGGTTATGTGTAATACAGTGAGACAACCATTATAATAAATACAAGCCAGGCTTCCTATAGACTTATGTTTTCTAAACACATTACCTGTTTTGAGGAAATTTGAAATAATAAACAAATTTCTAAGAGGTGAGAAGTCTTTAGCCTACACATACTCTACCTAACTTTTCCATCACTGTTCAAGCTATCAAGTCATAGAATGTAAAAAGTAAAAACATAAACATCCCATCAATTTTTTCATCCTCTTTTAAGTCATAAAGTCATAGAATTTAAAGGTAAAAGAAGTCATATGTTCCAACTGCCTCTCTTTACAGAGATGAAGTAGTAGTTCCCAAGTACCAAAGTAGCACAAGTCCCAAAGACAATTAGCTGAAAGCACTTCCTTGCTTGTACTGGGACATAGAACTCAAAGGTTGAGTAGTTACTGATGTTTGCTCATATTTTTGTATTTACTGAGTATTTCTTTGTATCAGTCACTGTCCTGGTGACTCAAAACTCAAATTCACTGCCATCAAGTCAATTCGTACTCATAGACACCCTGTAAGGCAAAGTAGAACTGCCCGCTGTGGGTTTACAAGGCTGTAGAGTTTCAACAGGAAAAAGCCTAGTCTTTCTCCTGAGGAGCAGCTGGTGAGTTTGAACCAACGACCTTGAGGTTAATAACCCAAAGCCAACTATGTCACCAGGTTTCCTTTACCTACATACAAGGAGCTCATAATCTCATTGGGAAAAAATATAATGAAAGAAATAGTTTATAATGGTCATTTTTTCTATAATAGGGTACCTTAGACAATGCTTGCAATATATAGAAACCTCCTCAAGCCAGCTTGAATTGGGAGATTTGCTTGTTGTGAGACCATTAAGGAAATCTGAAACACAGTAGAAGAAAAGATAGCCTTATTTCACTAGCTTCTCAAATAACACTCTTTTCTTCATTCCTTCATCTCCACATGGCTTCAAAATCTGTATTTCCTTTATTTTTTAATTCTATCATGTCACTTCTCAATTCACTCAATCACGTGTTCATTATAAAAACCCACTGCAGTGGAATCCTCTCCAACTCAGACAATATAGGACAGGGTAGAACTTCCATGCAGTGCTCTTAAGACTTTACAGGAGCTGACTAACACACCTTTCTCCCATGGAGTGACTGGTGGGTTAGAACTGCTGACCTTAACTGCTGTCCTAACAAGCCTTTTATTCTTTATTATTGTTATGTCATTGTCGGTGTCATGGAGTCAGTTCCAAATCACAGTTCCCCTATGCACATCAGAACGAACAATTGGCCAGTCTTGGGCCATCCTCACATCTGGTGTTATGTTTGAGCCCATTATTCTTATAGCTATCCGCAAAGATTAGCCCAGACATTGACTTCATGTGACTTAATACATTTGACTCGATACTTAATTGACTCCGGTTCTGAGCACCGCACTTCAGATGGTCAGATGACAGCCTCTCATTGGCCCAGCTTATGTCCAGGGTCTACTCATGATCCACCCAGCCTCTGGCAGGCTGAAGGCAGCACAGGTTCTCTGAGAATATAGGTGGGGAGAAATGGTCGATATGATTAAATCACAGTAACTGCGTAGCTAACACTATATTTGTTTTCTTCATATATTCTGAAGCACATTTCTTTTTTTTTTTTAAGGTTTGAATGTTTCAAGATGAAGAATTCCATAAACTACCATCTGCTTTTTACATTAGTTCTGTTCAGTTTAATAGTAACCATAGTAAGTCATATTTTGTTTCTACCAAAATAAGCATGTGAAGTAGCAATTTATAGTTTGGTACATTTTTTTCCAGTGCTTACTTCATGTTATTCAAACTGATAGGTTTCTTTACAAAGTTGGGACTTCTCATTTACAGATATTGTTTCCTGTTCAGTTGACGTATTGCCATAGACTCAATTCCAACTCATATTTTTCCTTATAATTGCAATAACTTTTAAAATGTGTTTTTTAAGTCAAAAAGTAAATACTGAGGAGCAATAGGGGGAAAATGTGTGTTCGATGATGTGCTGAGTACATTATTGTTTTATTAGATTATTACCCCCACAGGAATTGGGAACATAGAAAAGGATAAGATGGGATAGAGAGTATGGCAAATGAAGAGACATGAGTCTAGTGAATTAGACAAATACCAGGCTATAAAAGCCTTTGTATGCTACATTGAAGAATTTGGATTTTTTAAACTCATTTTATTGGAGTCTCATAACATTCCATACATCAATTGTATTTGTACATATGTTGCCATCATCATTTTCTAAACATTTACTTTATATTTGAGCCCTTGGTATTAGCTCCCCTCCCATGACCCATTGATAAATTATAAATTTTTTTTTTCATATCTTACACCAACCGCTGTCTCCCTTCATCCACGTTTCTGTTGTTAGTCCCCCTGGGGGCCAGGAGGTTATGCATTGATCATTGTGATTGGTTCACCCTTCCCTTCTTCCCCCACCCTCCCCCTACCCCCTGGTATCGATAAGAATTTGGATTTTTATCATGATATTGGTGTGGAACCATTGACTGTCCTAAATAGAGGAAAACATAATCAGACATAATGTTTTTGAAATAGGACTCTAGTTACAGAGGCAGGATTAGAGGGGAATTAGCCAGACCTAGGGATGCCCAGGGACTTTTACATTTACTTAGGCAAGATATGAGACTCAGACTAAAGTAAAATAGCTATTATAGGGATGGAAAGAAGTTGTCACAATTAATCAGATCAACTGAGGTAAAAATAAAGAGTTGTCTAGAGCAAAACTTCAGTTAATGGCATGGCTGTCTGGGTACATAGTAAGCATGCCCCTAGCCAAGATAGGAAGCATGCAGGAAGAGCAGATTTTGCAGGAGAGATGAGTAGGTTTGTACCATGAGTTCAATGTGGAATGTTTTGAGATTGAGGTACCTGCCATTAAGGTATCTGAGTCCTAATGGGTAGGCGGAGCTAAGGTTGTTGATTTGGGAGCTGCCCCAGCATAGGTAGAAAACCGAAAATAAATGGATGTCCACGGAAATGGTAGTGACTAACAAGCAGGAAAAGTTTGGGATTTTTAAAGTAGTTGGAATAGATGTTTTCTTCTCCATAATGCACTTTATTCATATGTATCTTTCAATATTTTCAGGTTTACCTTAAAGTAAAAGAGCCTGTATTCCATCAGGTAATTTTTAAACAATTTTCATACATTTGATTATTTAGTAATACTTATCTGCTTTGTGTGTGGATGGTTGTATTATTTCTATAGTAAATGTTATATGCACATACAATGTTTGAAAATGAAATATTAGATGCTTAGGAAAGTTCATTGTTTAAAACAGGTTGAAAATGCAAGGGCCCACAGAAGCCAAGTATAGGTAATAGGAATTTACCTGGCACAGCCAACATCTGGATCCAGCTAGCTGTTGGTATTTCAGTAATGCAAGTGCAGCATCATTTATATGAGCGGGAGGAAAAAAAGAAAAGGAAGCCTTGCACATGCACGCAGTCCTTTATGACATTATGTTCTAGAAAAGACAAAACTGAAATTGTAAAATATTTTTTCTAGTGTATTTGAGTGAGTTTATCAAGGTAAGCGGCTCATATACATTGAAGTAGGCAAACACAGGAAACTTTGTTGCTGGAGTTGACTATTTAAGTGCCTCCCATAATGAAGCAAGAGTGAAATCAAGGAGGAGCTTTTAAATATTAAAGGTCGCCATTGTTTACTGAGTGTCAGCCACATGCCTGGTACCATGCTCATTACTGCACAAACATTTTCTCTTTCAGTAATCTTCCCAGCAGTCCTATAAATTAGGGGCTATTATCTACATTTTAGGGAAATAAGCTCAGAAAGATTAAGTAATTTGCCCCAAGGTTACACAGTTATTAGGAGGCAGAGCCAGGATTATAAATTTGTCTGATTCTTGTCACCATTCTCTTCATAGGCTAGCACACAAAAATAGATAAATAAGCACACATTTCAGGAGTGTTAGAAACCTTATTATTAGAATACAAGGGGGCTTCAAAAAGTTAGTGGGAAAATTCCATTTATAGAAGGAGTAAATGTTTCTGTGATGTTTTGTACTCAAGTAGACAATAATCATCTAAGTAGAATCTGCTTATAAATAATTCTGAAACCACATCATTGTTTGTCTTGCTTTACTCCATGCCAGCAGGAAGTAGACATACTGAGGTAGATACAAGACAGTGCTACTTTCCTGTTTATTGTTGCTTGAAATGATGTCATTGTTCAATCCTTCCTTTACTTAGAAGACTTATTAAAACTGTAAAAACTGAAATACATTTATTTGTACAAAGACATTAGCTTTTATAAGTGTCATGGTTGCCTCATGGCAAGTGGGGTGGATTGGGGCATTTTGGATTAATTGTGTAAGTTTATAACCACCAATATTCCATTTTGTGTTTTATACCTATTTGGTACTCTGTTTATGTAATAGAAATAACAAACCATTACTGGAACTGCCTCTGCAGCATTTTCCAAGTGTGTTTCTTCCCTTTCTATAATGACTATGTTTGCTAGAAGGAAGGAATGTGGGGTGAAAACAAGGTCCATCCATGCCCACTATAGCTTAAGTTCTAGGCCTAGTAGATAAAAATTAAGATAAGGAAATGAAGGACGATGGGGAGGCTAGGGAAAAATAGATCCATCATTTGAAGGTAGAACATGTTTAATCATTCAGCACCATGAGTCTTCTCAGTTATCAAACTGTGAGCTGCAAATAAAAACAAAGAAGCAGTAGAACAAAATCGTTAAGATCTATAATCAGACCAACCTGGATTCCCATCTGATCTCTCTGTTTACTAGCTGTACATCCTTGACAAGGCGTACTGAGTTTTGGTTTCCTTATTACGCAAAAAACAAGTTTTAAATGTCAGGATATGCAGTAGGCACAAGAAATACATTGGTGAATAAGATCTTGATCTCAAGAAGCTTATTGTCATACTCTCATCTCTACATTTGATATTACCACCTCCTAACATTGTCTAAAGGTGGTATAGTGGTTATTTGTTGATCTGCTAACCACAAGGTCAGCAATTGGAAACCAACAGCCATTCTGAGGAAAAAAGACGAGTCTTTCTACTACTGAGAAGAGTTACAGCCTCAGAAACCCACAGGGGCAGTTGTACCCTGTCCTATAGGGTCACCACGAGTTGGAATTGACTCAATGGCAGTGAGGTTGTTTTGGGCTTTCGTTTTTAATGTTGCCTGGGGACTAAATGAGATAATACATAGAAAACTCCTGGCACCTACTAAATACTCAGTGAATGTTAACAAGTATTAATACACCCAGGCAAATAAGACATGGCCATATCTAGTCTCAAGGAGCTCACTGTCTACTCAGGAAAATAATCTTGTTAATTTTTTTCCATTGGGGAAAAATACAGCAATGCCAAAATATGACACAGAAGAATAAGCTGTAGATATAACAAATGAATACATGTTCTGTATTAGAAAATGATAAGAGCATATCCCACTGCCATTGTGTCAATTCCAACTCATACTGACTCCCAAGAACATAGTAGAACTGCCCCCGTAGGATGCCAAGGCTGCAGTCTTTATGGAAACACACTGCCACATCTTTCTTCGGCTACGAAGCTGATGAGTTGACCCACAGACCTCTCAGCGGCTAAGCAATTTAACAACTGTGCTCTGCCGGCTCCTCTAGAAGGTGATGAACATTATATAACAAGAAAGACCACAGTAATAAGACTGACTCCTTGTTCATTCTCTCTAGTCACCCTGCTCTTTCATTTCCAACATAACAAGCATGTTCTACTCTGTACTTGAGAAAAGCAAGTAAGGGAAGCTGGCCCATTATTTATTATATTATGTGTGTGTGTATATTATGTGTTTGTGGAGAAAAGGAATGAAATGATTATTGAATTTTTCCATGAGCATTTTGATGCCTCCTTATTTTTTCCTCACCACTTTAAGCTTAATTTCAAGATGCCTACACCTTAAATATCAGGCTATACTATCCTGTTGCTACTCTAGTAATTAGAATTGATCATTTCAACTTATACATGGTTTAAAAATCCTTCTGAGAATTTATGTTACTATCTTAGTAAACATATCAGCATTTGTCAGAGCTTAAAGTATCACTCTCATTCTTTCATAGAACTGTTGGTATTTTTAGGGACAGAAACGTAGAAAAAATGGTTTGGGATTTTTTTTAAGTAATAAGAGTTACAGAAATTTTCAAGGTCTTAAAACTATGGAAAATAAAAAAAAACTATGGAAAATAAAGCAGTGTTGGCCAATCTAAAGGAGCACTGGCATGAGAGTTTGGAGTCTTAAAGTTTGGAATTTATATTTCTAGTCACTAGTTATCCAGGGACGTTTCTTGCTGTCTCAGTTTTTCACTTTGAACATATGTAAAGTGTTCTAAACAAGGAGAGATATTTCACATGGGAAAAAGAAATGTAGTGAACAAAGCAATAAAAATATACCATATAATAGTAAAACTACACATTAGAATATAAGATAACATAATCTACATATGATAATCAGGGAAAGCCTCCGTAAGGTCTGAGTTGGGCCTTTGAAGATAAGTTATAAAACAATTAGGAAAAAAAGGGCTAAAATGTATTTAAAAGTATCTGCCCAACCAGTAATATTGTCTGCCAACTAAATTAGCTTCTCCTAGGGAGAAAATACTGATAACAGTTCCTCTTGACTGTATTAAATCTAAGGTAATCTAAACATCTCTAAATGAGACTCCAATGCCACTTAATTTGATGTCCTTGCCAAGGTTAATTCCCAAATCACATAGCTGCCACATTCAATAGTAACACCAGTACATCTTAGACAAAAAGACGAAAAGGAAAGCATAGAAGAAAATAGATGAAAGGGATGTTTAAGAAGTTACTGGGCCCTCTTGAAGCAGCTACTGGACACATCAGTAGTTGGCTATCTAGGGTGAGATCTCATCCAATGTCTCCAAGAGAGCTAGTGCTTAAAGTGATGTCTCCTGAAGATTGCTTCAGTATGTATGCTTTATCTCTCCCTTCTAATCTGACCTTCAAGCTTTGCGAGAAGGAAGGAGCACACCATGCTAACATCACACTTGGGAAAACAGGGATGTGAGCAGATTTGTGTCAAGTTTATTCTGTTGTGTTTGATATGTGCCATTTTATTGCAAATCAGTGATTTAAGAAACTAAGTGCATTTGGAAAAGGAGGAGAGGATGCTGATATATTTTGAGTATCTGTGTGATTATTCTTTAACATAATTTATACAGATTAATTTACATATTTGAGATAAATATCAACAAGTCTGTTTAGAAATTAACACCTTCAGAAAGGCTTAAGTCATTTGCCCAATGTTTCTTACCTACCTAGTTAGTGGCAGAGCTGGAAATTGAACCTGGATCCTTTTTTATCCCAAAGCCTAAATTCCTCCCATGATATTATGATAGCCTTATAGTAAATTACTTTGAAATCTAATTTATGATCAGAAAAGTGGGTTTTTTAAAGAATTAAAAATGTTCCTTAGATTTAAGTGGGATACTAAACTTAATAGAAAAAAAAATAAAAGTAACAACTGAATCTGTACAGCCCAAGTATAGCTGTGTTTCACTTTAAGTAGTTCATACTCCAGATATCAACTTTAAGAATTGCTCCAAACCAAACAGAAGTGAGTAGTTGTGGAACTGAAAAGAGTTGTCACAAAAGATGGCATTTGAAGTGGGTTTATTTAACCATAGAACTCTTCATGAAATTTTTTTTTTAATTTCTCTCAGCACAGTACTATTCTGGGGATACTATTGGGGAAATCTTGGGCTAAAGTACAAGTGGAATGAGAGAGGAAGACTGGAACTAAACTATGAAAACCACTGAATGCCATGGGGAAATGTTGGTGCCCACGCAGTAAAGCTGGACATCATAGATCTTATGCTTTTTCATGGCATTGTAAGATCTATTTTAGATAATTAATAGTCATGTAATTGTCATGGCATTGTAAGATCTATTTTAGATAATTAGGGTATTATATATAGGATGGATTAGAATACTGTACTGCTTTGGAGAGGAGAGGATTTTAAACCATCCTGAATATATACAACAACTGATCTTACCAATAGACAGCATTGCCTTTGAACATTATGAAATTTTTTATAAGTACTATCTACATTTAATTTGTAGCCATTTATACTGTCTAAT